AAGTTAAATGCAGACTGAATTGAGTCTAAAAAGACAGAAAATGATTTCATCAGCAATTAGCGAGTATATACTGGGGTTAAATATGATGTGGTCATAAAAAATGTACCCTATTATCAATTTTACATTTTGTTTTAAGATCATGATTTTCCCAAACTACCCGCATAAAAGTTTAGAATGTCCCAATAATTCAACATAGTGCTCTCCAGAAGACGCGCGAAGTAACTCATATTTGAAGTGACTGAGGCAATCGACAAACAACTGAAATAGCCAGCATTGAATCGTTAAAATAAAACAACGATTATCATCATGCCAACTACAAATCAACCAAAACGGGAAAAGAAAACACAGCGACCGAATACTTCGTCAACACGTGGAAACGAGCCAACACGAAAGAAATCGGGAGGAGGCCGAGGGCGAGACACGGTAAGTCTGTTTATTACTTGTTCTGGTTACTCCGCAATTATTTGTAGCAGTAATAATATAGCACCAATTTAATGCTTTTCACACTTGTTTTCTTAGCTCCGTACTTTCCTTAGCCCCGGACTAACCTTTTTGGCTTTTCACACATGCTGTTTTATTGCTGTACCTGGCGCCTATCCCACGATAAGAAAATTCACATTAGCACCGTAATTGCGGAGTTAGCCCTGCTTTTTTGCAGGGCCAACTAGCCCCATAGGCCGTACGTTAGGTGGGCTAGCCCACTTCGATAAATTCGTGTCTGAACCAAAAGTAGGCAATGCTTAGCCCATGATCAGTCTATTCGTATATAGCCTAGGTGCTAAGACTCCCTTTTAGCCCTACCGATATTTCGGGGCTAAGCAAAATTTTACTAGTGTGAAAAGCATATGATATTACTGTTTTCGACGAAGTTTACGGATGGCTTATTGTTTGGAACATACATGTACTACCATTTTTATTATGATTTCGTATTGTATCATACGAACAAGAAATACAAGTGATTGAGAATCGGCGAAAGATATTCAATCATCTCCATTTTTTTGAGGGCTAGGATCTGTTTGCAAGACTTTAGAAGATGAAATTAGGAACTCATCAGAAATTAATCGATCAATCTGAAAAATTTCCGAAATGTGTTTACAAAACCATAACAATTATTTGTTGCGGGAAACTGGCAATTTGGTATTAACAAAATAGGAGTCAAGTAACAAAATGTCGCCTGTATCGCTATATATTTGAAGATGCCAGCTAATGGTCTATATATAATTTCTTTATTTTGTTGTCCCTTAAAGCCTCTCTATAAGTGTTCGGAGCCAAAACAATTTGATGTTAAACATTCACTTCAATTGTATAATAAAGTGAAAGAGGTTGTCATTTAAAACTGACTTCTGCAAGAATTTTCAGAGTAAATGTGTTTGAAGACGAATATTGATGAAAGAATACAAAATTTAGGTTTTCGGCGTACAACACAAAAGCCAAGTTTCTTATTCCGTATCAGGACAATTATCCCCAAGACAATCACCCCCAGAAAACTACCCTCCGAGGACAATTACCCCGGAAAATCCCCGAGGACAATTATCCCCCATTGATAATTACCCACCTCCTCCCTACCCCTGAAAATACCCCTCTAGGACAATTACTCCCCCCCCCCCGGACAACCAAGGACAACCACTTCCGAGGACAATTATCTCTCCCCCTGAAAATGCCCCCTGTTCATTTAAGGAGAAGTCCACCCTGATAATAAGTGAGTTTTAATAAAAGCAGATTTTCCTTTTCGTATTGTCCTAGGGGGTAATTTTCCGGGGGGTAATTGTCCTCGGGGAAAGATTGCCCAGGGAGTAATTGTTCTATAACCTTTGTATTCTTTCATCAATATTCGTCTCACGACACATTTCTTTTGAAAATCCTTCCAGAGTTAAGCATTATATGACATCCTCATTCACATCATTACAAAATTCATGTGAAATTTTGCCATCGAATTTGTTAGCGAATTTGGGGCTCCCGACGCTTTAAGAGGGCTTTTAAAGAAAGTCGCGTTCTGGCTATGAGATTTCATTTTGAAAGAAACTGTCTTGACGCGAATAAACTAGGCTGATTATGTCGCATATAAATATTCTTATAAAATGTGAAATACGTTGAGGAGCTATCCTTTTTGAGGTGATATTTTGTATGATGTTCTTCCACCCTAACACTACAAGAAAGAAAGCAAGTCACAAATAATTTGTCACCTTTCCCAGAGCTCATCCGACGATGATGACGATGATGGCTGTATCGACTGTGGCGGATACTGTTCTCGTAATGCGAGTAGATGTAGGAAATGTTATGAGAAGCCACTCTGCAATTCTTGTGCCAAATGTGGCAAGTATTGTTCTCCGGATGCGATCAGATGTATAAAATGTCATCTCAAGTACAGAAAGAAGAAAAAATGAAGAAGATGGCTAGATGCAATGGTTTACATCCAACGTTGAAAATACAAGTGCCACAAAGATGACTTATCTAACACAATTTGAAGTTGGATTCTTTTAGATAAAATCCCTCAAGATTATAAACGCCCCATCGCAGCCACACCTAACGACCGACACTTCCATAGGGTTGTTATTCCCGATGCAAGAACTTATTTCAAGTGAAGTTCTTCGCAGAAAACATCAGGATTAGGAATGCTTTTCCTCAAGATCCCTTTAGCAGGCTGGTGGTGAAGGAAGCCAAGCTCCGCTAGATGTTAATGGAACTGTTGTTAGCTACACTTTGATATAAATATACTGGGTACAAAATTTTCACGGGGGTAATTATGTATCCAACAAAATTGTTGACTCTTTTTAAAAACCCTACTTGGGTAACAGTTTGCCCATTTAGATTTATCGTAACTTCCTATGTTACCCTACCTTTGGCTTTTACAGGATTCACAATGATGATATTCATTTTAATGTTTATTGTAAAACCGTTAAATATAATTTTTTTAATATAATATTTTCTCATACTGTGAATCCTCCTTCATACATCCTTGAATGAGACATATTACACGATTTGGTAAAACACGATTTGGTAAATTGATTCATTTGAATTTGCTGAATACAGCTGATTGCCAAAATCTTCCGTGGTAAAAATGTCAATTATATGTTGTTCCTATGTTCTTATGTTGAAGCAAGATTATTCATGTGCATATAAACAATTATCCTTTAGGGACACAATAAAGAAATGAAATGAAATGAAATGAAATGAAATGTTACTTTGCACTTTTATAAGTTTGTGTACACGATACTTTATAGTAGGTATGAATTTTTTATCAACAAAAATGTTCTGTTTCTACCAAGATAATGAGAAACAAACCCCTGCAATATTTTCAAATAATGAGAAAAGTTTGCCAAATTAATACGGTTTGTGCACAATATAGTAAGTACAAATCAAGAAACCTTTTAAACCCAATAGACGTTACGGCTATGATCTGTTATATCCGGGAAGGAAAGAAAATAAATGGGGAAAGAAAGGTTCATACAATGCCATCAATTTGTGACATGTTTTATGTACGTTTAACCATGGAAAAGACGTTAAAATGATACTCTATATTGGATCTTTAGTTATTTACAATTTCACACTTTTGTCGATCTAAATAGGAAATTTAAAGAAAGTATTGAGCACAAAGTGGCCTATGATCTTCCTGACATATCTTCTATCCTAAACCAATAAAAGAACTAGAATCGTCTTCTCATGCGAAACAATATAACTCGAGTGTTATATTAATAAAACTAATAAATTAAAACACAGGTTATGGACACTTGACGTTCCTCTTTGTTTTTCTTTCTATCAAAATGCAACTTCACACGAACCTTATATTAAATTTTATATTTGCCATTTATATTTGCCTACTATATAAGGATATAATTTTGATGCATATGTAATATCACCAATGCAACCATTCCATTTATTTTAATCAAGGAAGGTATATTCAACTCTTCCTAACATTGATAAAAAATGAAAGAAAAGAAATGGTAGGTAGGAATAGAGGATGCGAGAGACAGAGTATAAAAGTGATGTATGCGGTAACAGAGAGACGATGAGAGGGGTAGGATGAGTGGGAGAGAGATAGGGAGTGAAGGGCAGAGGGAGAGAAAGAGAGACAAATAGACAAAAGAGAGGAGAGAGGAAGGGAGAGGGGGTTGGGGGAGAGGTGGGCGGTGTTTGGAAGAAACATTATTATGATAATAGGTAAAGCAATTAAATAGGGAAATGATAAAGGAGCAGGGGTAGACAAAATGTTGTGAGAGAGAGAGAGTAAGAAAGGAAGGGAGAGAAAGAGTGAGTGCATGTGCGTGTGTTTGTGAGTGTTTGACAGAGAAAAAAAGGTAAACTCGTAAAATGAAGAGCACACAGGGAGAAGAGAAGAAAAATAAGGAAAACTTACTCTGAACAAAAATCTACTTGTAGATGAAAATTCTATTTTCAGCATGCACGGTTCAATCAACATCACTCCCGTATTTAAATGCAATTTAAAAAATCTATTTTATGAGATCCACTTTCCCATAATGGGACAATTTCTTGTTGGGTGAATATGGCCTTATGAACACTCCTTCCCCCCCCTCAATATCCACCCCCCCCCCTTTGAGCAAAACAAAAAGGGATGTTCGAACACCTAAAACACCCCCTGTTTGCCAGGGGGAGGGGGGTGTTTGAACACCCAAAATATCCCCCCCCCCTTGCTACGCAAATGATGGTTGTTCTCCTTCCCCTCCTCCCCCTTCACCTTCACCTTCTTCTCCTTCTCCTCCTTTTTCTTTTTTTAATTTTAATTTCTTCTTGTTCGCCCGTAATCATACAAACAATACGTGTTTGCGAGTGCATAAATGAATATGCACTGCACGCAGGTTAAGTCACAGTAGTATAATGACCTTTGGACTTGTCGAATTATTTGTCTGTCTCATTGCGACTTAATCAAGTGCATATTACTAATCCATGACCTAAAAACATGATTTTTTTTTAATATAAGATGAGTCTACAATATGAGTAAAAAATCGAGAATTCACCAAAATGCACTCCGCGTGTATAATGGTAAAAGTAATGTCGCACGCGTTATCCATTTCGACGCTTCTAATTGGCTACATTCTTGAACCCATTTTATAATTTTAAGAGAGGCATTAGTTGATATATTGTAGTGGTGTTGGCGCGGGGAAGCACATCACTAATTTCGTTGCCGTAGGAGAGTCAAAACGAGTTTGATAATTTGTGCAAGTTGGATCGAAAGGTGACGTCTATACAACATGTCTGACAAACCAACGTCTGGACCCAAATATAATGAACCACAACGGCATGTAAATATATGAATAAACATTTTATGTGTGTTTATCATGAGATTGGATACATATTATTTATAATTAACAGATAGAAGAGATATTATATGTTGACTATAATGTGATATTGGCTTCATTTCTTTTTATCTTCTTTTATTTGTGGCGGTTAGGGAGTGATGTTGAGTGACGAATTTACGTGTAGTGTTGAGCACATTACTCGAGAGTATTATAATGTGATAAACGATATTAAATGTTTGTATTAACACATCGTAATCGTTTTATGCAAAAGATATAATGATGTACATCATTGGAGGCAATTTTATTTAGATCAGCATTTTTTAACCGGGGCGCATCGAAAAATTATCGTGGAATAACATTAATTTCGTGATATACCAAATATTAAAAATCACTAAAGTATGTAATCACGTGAGGAAATAGCTTTATAAGATAAAAAGGGTACTTTCTCGCTCGCTTCGCTCCCTCGCAATCTTCAGAAACAGAATGATTTCAGTCAGTATCCGAATAAATCAATATTTTAGCAAAGACGTTCCCAAATATCATTCTAATTGACAGCAAAGTGCCCTGATAATATGTTTTAATCTTTTCTATCGAAATTGCATTTTTGACATGTCAGCTTTAATAGCTCGGTACACTAAGAAACGGGATAATTCCAGGCAACGAAAGGCCGGATATCCTCATATTCATGTAAATTGAGCGGCAAGTTGGTCGCTCACATAATATTTTATATCTTATCTTAAAGGTGTCCCATTTTACTCGCTCGCTCGTGGATATACAGTATGTCCTCGTAGTTGTGTACATGGTGCGAGTTTCAGAGTGATGCACTTGATATTCTGTGATGAATTCGGGGTTGGGATGACTCAAAACTGTTTTTCTTGTGAATAGGGTGCCGTGTCTGAAAAAAGGTTGAAAAACGCTGATCTAGATTTATCCACTAAAGGTAATTCTTTACTGCTTTTGAGCTCCGTGCGTGGTGCATTATGAACGCTGTAAATGTATCACTTATTATCATAATTATCATTAATATTATTATCAATGATCATTATCAATATTATTATTATTATTATCATCACTACTAGTTTTCAGAGTCCAGATACATGTACAATATTTTTGTGCTAATCATTATTTTTATCTAGGGTTCCAGTGGCAGATTTGGTCTGATACCATTCCGAGGAGTAGTCACTTTTGTGATCATCCCGTGGCTTTTAATCATGGTGTCCTTTTACATCATTGAGACATTCTGGCGCGCATAGGATCACGGACAAGGTAAAGTTTATAATCAGATAAGTACAGGGTAGCTCTAGTGTTTTCCCACAAACACAAACTACTAAAGACTGTCGTTTTAATGGACTGTCTGTATCGGAGGCTTTCTCGACTTGTTGGGCTGTTAGTCTCGCTGCTGCTGGTCTCTTGGGCTGTGGACTTTTTGGGCTATTGGTCTCTTTGGGCTATTTTTTCGATGGCTGTAGGTCGAGTGGGAGTGTTGGTATCAAAAGCTGTCGGGTCTCATGGGCTTTATGTCCCGTGGGCTTTCGGTTTTTAGGGCTTTTCGGCCTCATGGGATGTCGGTTCTCTGTTAGCTATCTGCCTCTTGAGCTGTAGCTCGTGCAGTCTATGCTAATCATATACCAATTTACTGGATCTTATCTGATTTAGAAATGGGAATTACATTTCGTTACTAGAAACACGGACGAAAGTTAGTTAATAAATCAATCATTGATAACATATATTATCATTTGACGATAATGGGATCAGGTCTTTTGGTAATACATTGCTTAATGAAAGTTTCTTTCAGGAAGCCCACGAGAAAAGCTTTGCAAACATTAACATATATAGTTCCTTATTCATTTTGTGTAATATTTGCCCATGCAGAATCCAAATGTTCATTAGTCTTTAATGAGAAGAAGATGATTATAGCATATATAGCTATAATTCGAAATGTAAGTAGGCCAGAGGCAATTTTTGTAATTTAGAGTCAATATAAAATTATTCTAATATAATTTATGTGGTGTATTGGTGAAGTCTCATAACACTTATCCGAGAGGTCCCGGGTTTGATTATTGCTCGGTATTTTGCCCTCATTGTCTCAAGAATTAATTCCCTTTTTTTTTTTCAAAAGAGAGCGATTCGCATGATTACTAACTCTAATTATATATCACACACGGAACCTTTATTTCATCGTTTAAAAACATTAAATCAAGATATTCACATTTTTCAGACAGGCATTTTTATGTAGAGATATTCTCATAATCAACTACCAACCTTCTCTCACAAAATTTACAGTTTAAACTCAAACATTGAAAAACTTACTCACCCTTTGTTCAACAAATTATCACTTGAAAATCTTGAAATTTTAGCCCAAAAGTCAGTAAGACATCATGGACCGGATGTTTGGAACTCCTTACCAGATTCAATGAGGCATTGTTCATATCTCTATTCTTTTAAAGCATCTCTTAAAAACTCTCATATCGAAGTATCTATATAATTTATTCAACATGCAGTAGGTAAATATCATTGATATCTCAATTTGGGTCACATTGCAACTCATTTTTGCAAATTTTGTATTCTATTTCGTATTCTTGGTTTCCTTTATTGAAAAGGCTACATTATTTTGTTTCCACTCTACCATACTACACAGAGCTACTTGCACATCCACTATTCGCTACACACACAACCAAACACGCACGCTCGCGCGCACATTCACACACACACACACACACACACACACACACACACACACACACACACACAATATACATTACACAACACACCCACAAGCTCATACACAAAGATAGTTCAAACACTTTTCAATTTAAATTTTACCTAGAGATTTTCTTTTTTAAGGCCGCCATCCTAGTCAAGCATCGTTTATGATTGCGGTCTTTTGCACTGCTTCCACAGATAGTTCGGATAATACTTTAACTTTTTGATAATATGTTATAGAAATGTTAAGTTTCGTTATCATAATTATGTACATATATAAAAATTAAATAAAATCGACATGAAGATATTATTGTTTGTATATTTGGTATTATACCTTACGTTTATATGTTCTTTGTTATTTAGTTATTGTATTAGGAAAAATGCAGAAATAAAAAATCATATCAAATCAAATCTGCTGACATACATTTGTTGATGAGACTTAAAGAAATTGCCCTGTCATCTTAATTAAGAAAAAATCCAGTATAAAAAGTGGTTTATGTATAAACTATTATTAATGTAATTCTCGTTTTTCTTTTCTTATCCCTTTTTCAGTTCAACCTGTGCGTGCCAACAGGATCTATAGCATGACGACTCAAAGGATGCTATATATAGTAGTTCAATTATGTCAATTATGTGTTGTACCTAAAATGTATCCTTCTGAATTGAACTAGAGTCGATTTTATTTTCCCATAATTATTACGTGTTTAATTTTTCTGTATAAAATGATATCTTTCAGATCTCCAGAGTAAATGAAAAATGGTAGTCCATCTTCATCTTAAAAATTGAATAAACGGAACCCTATCAGTTTCCTTTCAAATATATTTTGATTAGCAGACCTCACAGACCTGGCAAATTCCTTTGAAATAGATTTTAATTCGCAGATCCCAGCATTATGTAAATGTATCACTATAATGGGAGTAAGCCTGTACGACAAGAAGCATGCAATATAATACGCTTGAACATAATTTGCACCATGTTGCCAAAAAAAATCAAGATTAATATTGGGACATAATCGTTACTTCTTATGTTACCAAACATTTTGCTTTACAATGATTGTACCCATGTTAATTGACGTTTATTGTAAAGCCGTTATTTTAAAATTTGTATATATTAATTCTTTTTCTAACTGTGAATTTTCTTTCATACATCCTTAAATAAGACATCTAACACGACTTGGTACATTGTTTCATTTAAATTTTCGCGATACAGCTGATTGTACAAATATTGTGGGTAAAAATTTACTTTGCAGTTTTATACTAAGTACGAGGAACTCCATAGTAGCTAGGAATTTATTATCAAAATATAATGATATGTATAAAGATAATGAGAAACAAATACTTACTGCAATATTTTCAAATAATGAGGAAAGTTTCCCCTAATAATACAGTTTGTGCACAATCCAGAAAGCAAAATTCAAGAAAACTTTCTTTACACCACATACCTAATGGCTATGATCTGTTATATCCGGGGAGGTAAGAAAAGAAAGAAAGAAAAAAAAAAGCCACCAATAAAGTTGTGACAGGTTCTATGTACGTGTAACCATGAACAAAACGTAGCAGTGATACTCCGATATTAGATTTTTAGTTTTTTAACATTTCACACTTTTTTCGTTTAACATAAATAGGAATTTTGAGAAATGATTGGACATAGCGTGGCATATGATCTTCAAAACATATTTTCTATCCTGTTTCCTGAACCATTGTGAGAACTAGAACCATCGTCTCATTCAACACGATATTATTCGTTTGCTGTATTAATAAAACTAAGAAATTAAAAAACAGTTTACGTTCTTCTTTGTTTTTCTTTCTATTAAAATACAAATCAACACAAACCCTATATCGACTTTATGTGTGCCATTCAAAATATCGTTTCGATATAAGAATATTATTTTGATGCATATGTAATATTACCAATGATATCATTCCATTTACTTTAAACAAGAAAAGTTATGTTCCCCTGTTAAAAACATTGAACAAACATTGACAGAAAAGAAATGGTAGGTAAGAATATAGGGTGCGAGAGACAGAGTATAAAAGTGATGCATGCAGAAACAGAGAGAGGATGAGAGGGGTAGGAGGAGTGGGAGAGATAGAGAAAGGAAGGAGTACGATACTAACAAGCAAAGAGGGAATATCGAAGAATCTATGCACATACACGAGGCACATAGGCCTACACAAGGACTGTAGTACTTATTCTCAGCTGTTTTTGCTTGCAACGAAAACTGAAGAATTTCATAATGAATGATATGTCTAATAATTATGACAAAATATCAACAAAGTTTAGAATTTGTTTATAGCAAATTTTATAATCGTACAGCATTTCAATTCAACTTGATCAGTTGACTATTTATTCAATTTCAACTTCAGCCCATAAAGGCAGGTTGTATGAATCTTTACAAATAAAAGCATACATGAGACAAGTGCTAAGATCACGTGATAAGTTCATGTGTAATGGAATATGAAGAACAAAAGCCAATTCTGTGTTTTCCCTCCACTTGGGAGGATTCCAGCTTGGCGCCATTTTACAGTTGCACACGTAGGACCTACTTCAAATTGTGAATATTTTCATTTCCAATTTCTGTTTTTTTTTTTTTAAATACGGATCAATAAACTAAAATCTGAACCTGAATCTTTGATAAAATGCTTTGCTTATTAGGACATGGTGCAGATAGTGAACTAGAAGCGGGCGTTCATAACAAAATATTTGTTTGTTTTGTTTAATGTGGACGGTGGACTTTATGCACTCGATTGCTTTACAATTTTCTATTCTGCGATCATATTCGCATGCCCAGGTTGACTATTAAAACAGAGGAGCTAGCGAAAGGTCACGTGACAAAATGGCGAACGAATATACCATTTCTGTGATGGGGAAGAAGAAGAAGATAAATGCAGACTGAATTGAGTCTAAAAAGACAGAAAATGATTTTATCAGCAATTAGCGAGTATATACTGCTGTTAAATATGATGTGGTCATCAAATATGTACCCTATTATCACTTTTACATTTTGTTTTAAGATCATGATTTTCCCAAACTACCCGCATAAAAGTTTAGAATGTCCCAATAATTCAACAAAGTGCTCTCCAGAACACGCGCGAAGTAGCTCCTATTTGAAGTGACTGAGGTAATCGACAAACAACTGAAATAACCAGCATTGAATCGTAAACTTGAAACAACGATTATCATCATGCCAACTACAAATAAAACGAAAACGAAAAAAACAAGACAGGAAATTAGTACATTTCAAATAACTTTAAACCAGCCATCACGGAAGAAATCGGTAAAGGTGAGCTATTTTATTTATTATTATTACTAGATCTAAGTTAGATCTAGGACTAGACTCTAGGTCTAGATCTAAAGTTAGTTCTGGTTACTCCGCAGTTATTTGTAGCACTGTCTAGGCCTAGGCCTAATAATAGTAAAAGTAGGCCTAATAGTAAAGTTCTTAGTAGGCCTAATACTAGGTCTACTAGTATAGTTCAAATACTCAATAGAATGCTTTTCACTCTTGTTTTGCTTAACCCCGTGCTTTCCTTAGCCCCCTCCTAACTGTGTTGGCTTTTACACACGCTGTTTTATTCCCGTACTACTTGCATGGCGCCTATCCCTGGATAAGACAATTCACGTTAGCACCGTAATTGCGGAGTTAGTCCTGCTTTTTTGCAGGGCCAAATAGCCTCGGAGGCCGTACGTTAGTTGGGGCTCGCCCACGTAGGTAACTTCGTGTCTGAACAGAAAGTGGGCTAAGCTTAGCCCATGACTACTGTAGTCTATAGACTAGGCAGGCCTTAAATTAATCGACGGCCATCGACGGCCAGGCCGTCGATGCCTCTATGACTGGCCGTGGTGCCCTCCCCAAAAAAGATCAATTCACGGCCAAAAAGGCCGTGCCCTTTTTTTCAAACTGGCCGACGTGCCTTTTTTTCCAACTGGACGTGCCCTTTTTTTAAAATTTGCGCTCATAAAACCACCAATTGCGCCCATAATCATCTAAAACTAGACGGCAAGGCGCAAGTGTTTTCCGTAAAAATGCGCCCATAAATTATTAGAACAGTAAAAATACACGAATCACGAACAGTTTGCCGCCCACGAGCTCTCTTCTAGCTTCGTATTTAGTGCTTTAATAAGGCGCAAGTGCCTTGAAAATGCGCCCTTTGTTATTTTATACATGTAGGCAATGCGCTATATAGCACACGTACGTACGTTCATGCGATCGCTTGATATGGTGCATGCTGTTGACGCACGCACGCACGTACGTACAAATCGAAGGCCAGGATCAAGAAAACAAATCGTCAAATGGAGAAATAAACAAGCATTCAAATAGTCATTAGAGATCTGTCGAGGTTTGTTTGTAGGTCTAGTTTATTATTTTATCTCAAATAGAATTTAGAATTATCTTATTAATAAGTTAAGAACACCTACGATGTTCTCGATAGTAGTTACTCTCATTTTTGCCACCAGCCGACCTAGCTTCAAAAAGCTACCCCGCCAGCTTCCCAAGACGAACGTTTCGAGTCCCGGTAAAATTACGCGCTGCGAATCTCCGAGGGTGCATTGGTTTCGCTGGCAAACTTCCAGCCCGACAGCTTCCCACCAAAAGTGGCGAGAGTGTGTGTGCGAGGAACGATTTTGGTTTCGTGAACTCACGTTACGCAACTGAGCTGAGCGTGTCAACTTTCAGCTGTCGAATGTTTCAGGACATTTGTACATCTTATTGCATTAGTTAGGCGTATCTAGACCTTTCTATACAACAGTTAAAAAGATAATTTCTTCAAATTTGCTCCTACTACCGAGTCCGAGAGAGTGTGGCGGAAGGTTTGTGTGTGAGGTGCTATTTCGATTTGGGATACCCGGCCCGGTAAACTTGCCAAGTCCTTCTGACTTTCGATGTTTGTGAAATTGACAATTTATTTATTCATTTGCTCATCAATATTTTTAGTTGCACTTTAAAATACTGTTTAATGTGCAAGTTTGATGTTCTTAATCAATCTTTCCTGTTCATATTGTTAAGATTAAGAAGTTATTAAATTGATCGTTCTATTCACATTATTTATTAAATTAACATTGTATTTCTAGACTCTCTTTGAACTTATGATTAGATAAGCATTAAGGGGCCTATCTGTTTTTGGAAAATTGCCCCTTGCTCTGCTAAATTCCCGTGGGCAAGGGGCAACTTTTAAAAAAAATTGCCCCTTGCTCCTGGCTGCTAAATCTAAGGCTTGCGGGCCGCCGCCTTGTTTGTATGTACCGTAGACCTCTATACATTCTGTGAAGAAGCTGGTGCTAAAAGTCATGGGAAATTGATCCCTCACAAGTTTCATAAAATACACATGACATCTAACAAAAATAGAATCAATTTTTTTTGGCCTCATACTCGATGCCCTTTTTGTAAAATATTTTGGCCTCGATGCCCTTTTTGTAAAAATATTTTGGCCTTGGTGCCCTTAAAAATATGAGGTACTCAAGGCCAAACTGGCCTTGCCCTAAAAATGACGAAATTTAAGGCCTGACTAGGTGCTAATACCCTTAGCCCTACCTAGGCTATATTCCGGGGCTAAGCAAAATTTTACTAGTGTGAAAAGCATATTATACTGGTACTATCGACGAAGTTTACAGAAGGCTTATTAAATAATATTACCATGTTATAGATCTTTATTCATTATGACTTATGAGGCCTAGTAATATAGTCTAGACTATATATATATAAATATATAGCCTAGTAGCAACGAAATGAAGAGGGGAGGAGAGATCGCGGGCAGGCCCCTAGTGGGTAAAT